CAGGGCTTTGGGAAGGCAACAAAAAGGGCATAGCCGGCATAGCCTTTCTACCCTACGAAGATCTATGATAGACAATGGGAGAGCCGCATCAATGACAACTCAGGTAAGGTGGGCATGATTTTTTCAATTTGTGCAGACTGGACCAAGATGAGAATGCTTGTTGGCCATGGAGAAACTTGGTGCAGAACTTGGTCTTTCCCATCATGCATCTTTTGACGCATGCTCTTACAAGGACAACGATCTGGACCTGTTGAGCTTGAAGGATGGAAGCAGGTTGAAAGCCTACCCTGTCAAGCGACTTGAAACAAGCATGTCGGTGCAGCAGCATGCCTCAGATGAAGACACTCCTGTGAATGGGTCATTTGAGGCCTACCGTTGATTGAGGTCGGAGTCTAGTGTGCAAACACGCAAACACATACATACATAAAATATATTTATAGATGTATATGAGCTGGCATTTAGCCCTGACAGCGTTCCATGTGACTCCTTGTGCTGGTACTGTATCACTGAATGCTCAATTTGCTCAAGGCACTATTTGGTGACAGTGATCGACGTTTGTTGGCCCAAGGCTCGTGCCCTTATTGGCTTTGACAATGGAGTTTTACAGAACCTCAGCTGGAAGGCAGGCAGACGTGCTGGTGAACTTTTTTGGTGTTTTTCTCCGTGACTGGTTCTTTCCGGGTTCTTTAAATGCATGGATTGAAGGTGTTTCAGCACAGACTTAGATTCCATAGTTGCTTGTGGCCAAGGATTTGGGGCCTCCCCATGGCAGCCTCTCAATCCTCGTTGAAGGGCGACGGGGCGCAGTCAAGAAATCAATTTACAAAATACAGTGGAAAAACAAAGCCATCAACGTTTGCGCAACTTTGGTGATTCCAGCTATTTGTGCATGTGGTGCAAATAAGGCCACAAGGGCACCATCACTGCCCTCTCGGTGCAATGGAAGCTGAAACGAGCTATCTCTGGCTGCTAGACAAGGGAAGGCAATTTTTTAGCACAGATGATAGTTGAAGGAAGTCTACCGAACTTTTGACATTTGTGAGTTTTTAAAAGAGCTTTCATACAAACACAATTGAGCAATGCGCGGAGACCGCTCTCACACTCTTGTGCACTTTCATTCAAGGTTCGCAGGACAAATCAGTGAGACTTTGGAATATCCAAAGGTCTGAATGCATCAGGCACCTCTGTTGTCTCGGCTTCTGTGTTGGCTTTCTGTAGACTTGGCTTACTTTGGGCCGCAACGGTGACTCAATAGTGTCAACATCTAGGAATCAAATCATTAGCGCGAGCTATCCTGCGTCCTGTTGGTAGTAGCCTACTTGCAGCTAGTAGCTACCTCATTTCCTTACTTAGCTAAGTAGGCGCCTACTTCATTAAGTTGGGAGGGGGGAGCGGCCTTAAAAAACAACAGAATGTTATCAGTTTTTACTGTGCTCGTATGAAGTACTGCCCTGTCAAACAAGTTCATGATTTCTGTCAGGATTGTCTCCGGCCATTTGACTGGGCTGCGCAGCCTGTGCGTTGACTGGGACCTTGGAGTGGCGCTCTCCAGTGCTTGGGACGGCGTCATTCGGAGGAAGGATAGATGCTGTGCACGGCTTTCAGGGTCTTCATGGTTTCTACAGGGTCCTCACCTTTCCCCACTTTATATCTATTTAAGCAATTAGTTGAATTCTAGGCATTTTGGTCATGCTTCTCAGGGGCCTATGACTATTTGTTTAAAACCTTTGGATGTATATATATATATACATACAGTAGCGCTTCCCTTGCATGATGAAGTTATATACATATATATATATATATATGTGATTGGAGCTCAGGAACAATGCCGTAGTAATTGAGTGGTGTGCCGTGCCCCCGTTATTTGGGGAGATAAATAGTCAATTTAACTAACCCAAGGAAATGCAGCTTTGGGAGATTGCAGACGAAGTGGATGTGGACTCGACCATGCAGCCCGTTGGTGGAGAGGCGCTGTATAATTGGGGCCAGGCCATGCAGCCTGTTTGGAAAAAGATATTGAAAAAGAAGGTGAACTTGGTCCCAAGGCCATGCAGGCCTGAAGGGGACCTTATTTTTTCTCAAGCCGACACGGCAGGGTCATCGGCGACCGCTGAGCTTCCGCGTCAGAGGTCGAACTTGCCCAGGCTAAAGCAAACTATTGAAGGGAATACACCAAGAAGCAGGGGTGTTTTTCGCACCCTTGCAGAAAGCACGACAAGCGTAGAATTTTCAATAAATACCTCGGCACCAGGGAAGACACCTTTGGAGTACGTCTACCCGTTGTTTTTGTTCTTGAACTCCAAGTTCAATTGGGCTGCAACAACGCCCTTGGTCTTAAATAGGCAAAGTCATCTTGAAGGACTTTGACATACGCATTGGGAGTCGCAATGATTCCAGCGTCAAGGTCAAATCTCCAGCCTTTCTGAAAAGCCAGAACTGCAAGCTCAAACACAGAGCAAGCAAACCCTTCACCAAGCTGCCATCTCAGGGAAGATCAGGGAAGTACAGATGACAATTAATTTTGAAAATTGGAAATCGACAAAGATCGCCTTGTTCGCAATGGAAGAATGGAGGGTCAGGGTCAAGGGAAACACTCCAAGTATAATGCGAAGGGTTGCTATCCCATGGCCACATAGGACAAAGCTGGCATGGGGTCATCCTAGTGGCAACTTCTTCAGAGTCATCGGGAACAGCCTTGCTTCAAACCGGTTTCTTGCAGATTTGATTGAGTTTTTCAAAACAGAGCTGCTGACGAAAGACATCTTCCTTCTTCTGTTCAAAGTCAATTTTGATCTTTTGGCATCACTCAAAATAAGATCTTTGGCATGCTGATCAGCAGGCCTGTTCAAAAGAATATCACACCTTGAAGAACCAACCTTGTCAGCCATCTCTTCACTGATTTCATGCGGTTGCAAGAGCTCAAGGTTGTGTGCAGGGCCACCAGAGTAAGCGAAGAGGTGCATCATGAAAGGCTTTACGTTGTTGAGTAGTGTGAAACAAAATTCGCCCACCAGTTGGCATGCGTCCATTCCAAATCAACAGAATTGGTGTCAAGAAGCTGCTGGAACTCACGGACAGTCAAGGAGTCCATGTGCACAATCAAGGGTTTGTAGATGTTTGTAGGAAGCAAAAGCAACAATGGCCGCCCACAGTTCGGCTGTATAGCTAGAACGTCTCCAATGAGATACCCGACCAACCTGGAACGCAGTTTCATCAGCTCGGATCACAGCAAAGCTTGCAATCGTCAACCAAGCATGAGTGTTGAGTTGGACGGATCCATTTGTCCAAACATGGTCCATGTCATGGCAGTCAGAGTACCAATCATGCACACAGTTCGGATGTGTTTGAACACGCAGCTTATTCTTGATCACCTTCAGAGGCAACTCAATCCCCAGTACAGCAAAGCGACCAAAATAGAAAGGAGTCCGGAGTGGTCGGGCGTAGAAGGTCCACCTGGTCGTCGCCTGGCTCCTTGGGAGCGTCACACAATCATTTGGCAGAGTCAAGAAGACTAACACCGTTGGCAGTTAAAGTATGTTAAAGTGAGTCCTGTCACGGCAAGTTCCTAATGAAAGGAGAAACAAAGACCCATGGAGTTGGGATTGCAGCAATGCGAGATCGTGTTGAAAGAGTCAATGTCCAAAAATCCACTTGGTGATTATCGAACATCTTTGCGTGGCATGCGACAAGCTGTCACGTAGCACTTATGTGCCGCTACCTTGTTCTTCTTCATTTTTGGTATGATTTTTTCATTCCTTTGGGAAGTTGCATTTCTACGGTCCAGGTGCGAGCAGGGGCCATTGCATTGCTCACAGTGAAAGAGGCCATTACTTTGAGACTGAATCCGGACTTATCAGACCTTGTGGAGTGTCGATGTTCGTGGCATAGCTTTTTCACTCTCAATCAGGCTAAAGATGAGAACTCTGAAGAGGAAGCTGAAGAGATTGTGGCGGACACAAGAGATGCGTCTGGGGGCCTGGCATACAATAAGGATTTCTGACATACAACAATGTTTACCCAATTACCTGTATCCTGCACAGACTGTAGCCAAGGGCAACCCTCATGCACACCTTCAGAGGAAGTTCTTGGAAACTGGTAGTCACAGTCGTTTTCTCTCAACTGGAACGAGAAATAGTGCGAAACCATGCTCAATCCATTTGCCGGTCAGGTTCAAGCTCAACTGACTCAAGTGATGCGTTTGACCAGCTTTCTCTGATGACATGGATGCCTGTGCAAAGATGCAGGTTGGCACCACAGGGTGCATGTCTCACATGTGCGCTGAAACTGGCGTGCCCAATCGGACTTTTCATGGTGGTTTTCAATTTCGGCCGACTCCAACTCATCAGATGCATTCGACCAAAAAGGCACTACTTGCAGAGCGTGAGAAACAAGGGATCACCAAGGTGGATCTAAATTGACGGATGCAGTTTTTTCAAAAGGGATCACCATGCGTGAGATAAGTTTTTTGATCCAGGGAGTGAAGCGCCTCTACAAACTGAGCGTCGCGGCTTGAGTGTCAGGCCTTACCTTCCTCCTCTCTACAGCAGACTCTGGGCATCTCTTCGTGCGCCTAACAAGAAGCAAGAGATTCTGACACGATAACGTAGGACACTGTTTTCCGATGAGTTGCTGGATTCTCATGCTTTCCCTGACTTTTGCTGCCAGGTTTGGCAACAGCGGTACTAATGTTCAGATGGTCCTGATGGGCAGTAGCCCTCAACCACAGGACCAGAGGGCAGTACTCTTCTCAGGATTATCAACTTTTTTTGTTTGCTGAATACACTGGTAATGCCCATGAGAACCTTTACACCACAAGTACTCAAAGTGAAGGCCGTTTAACTCTTCAGTTTTTTAGATTTGATACCGCTCATGGTAAAAGACATGTAGAGAAGGACAGCGAGCAGAGCTGGCTAAGTTACAGCATGTTGTCTTTTCCCTGGCAGATTCATAGGGCTCTTGAGATTCGTCATTTATGCTAAGCAAGCACGCCAGAATTGTTGACAGGACACTTTGCAGAAAGGTGATGCTCCCAGTATACAGAGATCCACGATGCAGTTTTTTGCAGTGCATTGTCAACCCAAAGATTGATAGGACTTTTCAGTAGCACTAAAGCCAAAGCTGATACATTTGCAACGTTATCGCTATGCCAAAACCACATCTCCGACCGCCAGAGGCACTTTTGCCAAGTATGATGATTTTTGCTCGGCCAGTCGGTCAGCTATGGCAAATGCGCTCGTCGTTCTACAGCTAGACACACAATTCCCTCGCATTCCTGGGGATATCGCTTGCAAAGAGACCTACTTGCTGCCCATCCACATTGAAGTGATAGACCGGGCCCACGTGGCTGATGTGGTTAGCCTTGACCCGGAAGCATTGGACATCTCAAGGTTTGCATCTGCACTGGCAAAGGCAGATGCGGAGATCATCAGCACTTCTTGTGGTTTCATGGTTTATTTCCAGAAGATGCTCTCAGAACTAACACAGAAAACTTTTATTAGCTCAGCCTTAGTTGCTTTGCCCAAGCTGCGGGCACGCTTCCAAGACGTTGAAATCATGGTGATAACTTTTGACGCTGACATTTTGGGTGCCCCTGCATATCGCTTTGCTCTAGATGGGTTCACAGGGCCAGTTGTGGGCTTGGAAAAGTCTATGCATTTGTATCAAGTCATATCAAAAGATTTGGATCATCTGGAATTGGAATGTGCTGAAGCGGACATGGACAAGTTGATACAGACTGCCTTGACATGCTATCCTGATATCGGTGCCATCATGCTGGAATGCACAAACTTGCCACCGTACAAGCATATTATCAGGCGTCACTTCTCGGGTGAAATTGTTGATTGCCTCAGCGTACTCGAAGCCGCATTTCCAGGCCTGGTCAAGAGTCAATTTCTTGGCTAGCTAGGACGCGTGAACACAGCTTGTGTGCCCAACTCCCACCTCGAAATAGGGAGCACCGGAGCATCCCTGAACTGGCCCTGCACGGATTTGGGTCCACCGACAAAGCCAGGGCACAACCGACCTACGGTGTGAGCGCAAACAGCATGGCAACAGCATGGGACAGGCTAAGACGGCTAAGCCTTGATCGCAAGAGGGCGACTCACGAGATAGCCTGGAAGATACCAGCGAGATCATTGAGGCAAAAGCAGGCAGTTGCGCAGTCGAGGTTGGGAGGTTGCTTTGGACTGGGTGTGCGATGGGTATTGTCCGCTTCAATCCAGTGAGATTCTTCCACCATTCCAAGAAAGCTAGGAACCGAGCTGCGCTGGTTTCCAGCGACACTTCCGGAGACCACAGAGGCGAGGCCGAAATCCTTTGGCCGCTCCAAGGCATTGATCCAACAATTTGAGGAGTAGGTCTACTTTGCAAGACAAGCAAATGATTCAACTCACTCCAGGTGCGTGTATATGATATATTTTATGTATATATATATACTGTATATTGTATTACATAATATGTCAACACTGCATTCCAGATTTCCAGATGCTTCCGCTTCCATCATTTCTGTTGCAGACCAGCTACCACGTCATTGGCAGCTTCAACTGCTGGGAGGAGCCCCTGAAGATGGAGGCAAGGCCATGGCGACCATGGAAGACTGCAACAACTCTGCTCACTGCAGATTCAGATGACGCATTCAGCACCATTTTCAGGTAGAATCCAAGGGAGTCTACGGCTTCACCATGGTTTTAGGTGGGTATTCTTTTGTTCTTTCAGTGTTTTTGTCCTCTTCCGCATGGCAGCATGGCAAGTGAAAGGCTTCCACAACACGTGCAACGGAAACAGCGTGACAGTGTGACTGCTGTATTGTCTTTGCTCAGGTGAGAACCGTTGGGAGACCTTCCAGATTTGGGAAGATGGTGATCCAGACAAGGTGGGTATGCACAGGTTGTACAAGACAAGTCAGCTATGGGATGAGGAGAAAGCAAGCCAAGGTGGACCAATCCAGACCTAGTTGTAATATGTTGTAATGCAACTGTTTGGCCAGGTGCTGCATCCGGGTTCCCATTGGGCTGACATGGAAGCATCAGTGCTGGGGCCATCCCGTCAGGCACAAATTCGACATTTGCCTAGAAAGAAGCGCAAGCAACAAGCAGAACTTTCAGCTGGCACAGAACCTTCTCAACTGCAGCGCTTCCCTTGAGAGGCCGTTTGTGGCCGCTACGCCACCTGGAGAATTTCCGGGAAGCCTACAAAGGTACACATTTTTTGTACGATATTGGTGAACGCTCAGTAGTGATGTGCTGTGGTTTATTAAGACAAGATATCCTCTAGATTCTTCCCATGTCAGACATTGAATATACATGTATTGCTGTTTTAGGCAAGATACAGCAGCGCCTGAGTTGTAGCTGATGCAGCGAGGTGCGGCTCCTCAATGAAGATCAGGCACAAGAAATGGGCGTGGGCACTTGCGCTGAGGATGGGATCATGGACACAGAATCACCTTGTGAAGTTGTCTTTGGATACATGTGGTGTGTATTTGGTCACATGTGGACGAATGGTCTTAGACAATTATGGTCTTAGACACAGTTCGCCAAACTGCAGGAGATGCTCTCCTACGCTGGTGACGTTGAAATCCGAATGCTTACGGCCTTCCCAGGCCGAAATTGCTTTTCTGCGAGGGTACAAATCAGCGGTGCTGGATGAACAGATCGCCTCTACAAATGCCTTGACTGTATCCAACAGTTGCAAAAGCATGTGCTTCTCCATTTTGAGAGGCGATTACATGCCTGAGGGCGGTGAGATTCCGGTGGCTAGGCAAACATTGGAGAACCTATCGCTCCAAAGTGCATTGCTCCTTCATTGATGTGTCGGATATTCAGGAGTACCCTGAAGCACGAGCGTGTAGAACGTGGTGCGAGAAAAGTAGTGAAGGATGTTATTCTTGATACATCATATGAACTTGATCAATTTCCGTTGTAGCACAGAATTTGGCCTGACAAAGTCGATGGTTTGCTGGTTTGCTTCTTGATCAAAACTCCATTCAAGTCCTGGGTCTACAGCAATTTGAACAGTTAAGAGTTTCTCTTGCTGGGTTTTCTGGCCTTTTATCATGAAGATTGCAGCAAACTTCCAGCGGAAGGACGATTCGATCACTTCCCACCTGCAGCATAACTTATACACTTTTCCCCAGGTGCATGGCACAGGGAGCGAGCGGTAGATGGCACATGCGCAGGCTACACAGTAGATGGCGCAAGCGCCACTTTGATACACCATAAACCAAAGTGCCAATTAGGGGCGCCATCTACTATAGACATGGCCTCACGTTCCACATCCCAATCTTCAAACTCTTTTTCCCCCTTTATGTGGTAACATGTTTGCATTGAATATGTCTTTGTTTCCCACATGTGACATGTGCTTATGAGCCATTCGTGAGTGGAAGCATGTCTGACCTCTCAAAAAACAAACGCCATCCATTATCCCCTGTCCAATGCTTGGTTTCTGGGTAAGTTCTCATACCCGTATAGATGGCGCACAAGAACTTGTGTTCCTGTTTGAAGCATGTTTGGCACATTGTATGCATGCCTGAGGTTGTGGACCAAGACGAACAGCTGTTGGGAATGCCGGGAGATCGCAACGCCTGCAGGGTTTTCTTGGCCAGTGTCGCCGTTTTCACCACTGGAACCCCAAGAAGATGCATGCCTTAGCCGCCTTAGCCAGTGCTTGCCTTCTTTGACTTTCTTCTTTCGTTTCAAACAGAACCGACGATGACAGCCAGGGTACCGGGTGTTGCTCCGCCTTGGTGGCCTTGGTACTCAGATTGACAGGCTTGAAGTGGTTTGAAATGAAACGTTTGAGTGGCATGGCCGGGTTGCTTTTCGAGCAGTTCTTCTTTGACTTATTCAGGACGAATCACAAATGTGATTTGTTTTGATTCTTTTGAGAAATTCTGAGAAGTTATTGACTTGCCAACTCTGTGCCTTATCAACGTCATTATATAACTGGTCAAAGTCAAAGAAGAAGAGCCGAACTATGCAAGTCCAAAAAGATATAGTAAAACAAAAGAAGATAAGCGTGCAGCGTGTGTATGTTCCTCCTTTAAATGGTAGTTCTCGTCGGCACATGTTTTTGTCATTTTTGTATCTTCTTTCCCTCGCCATACTGCTGTGGTTAAGCCCCAGTGACACCGCCACTTTGCTGTGAACTGCACACGACCAAGGCAAATATCGACGAGTGGAATGGCGAAAGCTGACCACGACAGTGCCACAGGCTTCGACAATGATTGTGGCAGTTGAGAGGACAAGGGTAAAATCGGTGCAAGTAGATCAGAGTGCATCCTCTCAGCTCCCTCTTCCTTACCGAGCTGCGAAAAGAAAGTTCTCTGTCAGGCTTTGCGAGCTTCATCCTACTACATTGCTGGAGACTTCAACTTTTGGGAGTTCCAGCCTATGCAGGAGGATTGCTTTGAACAAATCGGAGTGCAAGTGTGTCAGCTACAGGTTGCGGGATCCAGTTACTACCCAGATAGGCTCTTGGCCAGTGATTCAAGGGCAGGTTTAGGCTTCATGAAACCACCAGGAGGAGGCCTCAGCTGGCAGCAAAGCGCGCAGTTTCTTCACCGAGGCGTTGGAGGGATTACAAGGAGACGAAAGATCAGACAGGTTTATGCTGGCTTATATACTGTATATATATATTGTATACACACACACACACGTATTTACACACACATATATATATATATAGGTATGTGCCAATGTGTTGTGACATGGGCAGTCCAAAGTGTTTTTGGCGTAACATGCCAGGTGAAGCTGCGGAGCAGTGAGGATGTGTTCCAGGCGTGCCACTGAAGGAGTTGACAAAGGGGGCCTCAAGCCATTGGGATTCATTATTCCCGAACAGTGTGGCCAGACCAGGGGTTCTTGCGGAGTCTGGGTTTGATCGAGGGTGCTCACCAGCGTGGACGGCTACTTCACTGCCAGTCACAGCACATTCATGCCTCTCCAGATCTTCGAAGTGCATTTCGACTGCTCAGGCTTGCGCAAACTGCTAGGCCCGAGCGGGTGCTCTCCTCGACTGCGCTCTCGTTGTGGTGCTGTGCACATAGTGCACATTTTCACTTTTCGTGGCAGGCGTAAGGGAACCCTCGTGTTTTCGTGGTCTGAAGTTGACTCTGAGTGGTAGTTAGCAGGGGATCGGAGCCGCTTTACTTCAACGTGCAGATTTCGATTGGGAGCTGGTGGTGGTCTTTGGCGTGCTCTGATTTCGTGGCAGGTGCGCAATCGTGAGCTAACTGAAGGACCTGAAGAACTTGCCCGGAATCATGCCCCTTACGGTGTGGCCAGAGCCAACCCCAAATGTGCGGCGGATGTGGGAGTGGCGTCAGTGAAGATGATGCGCAGCTGAATGGAGACGGAAGGATCAAACCTGGCCTTATATCAAAACGCGACGAATGGTGACTTGTGACCAACTTGCCGGCTTTCTGGTAGGTTAAATCGACCTTAGGCATTTGACTCGAAGGGCCCGAAATTCCGAAGGCAGAAAGACTAGACTGCGTGCTGCTGATCAGCTGGCAAATTGCAAAAACATGTTTCAGATCAGTTGATTTAGAAGGAGTACACAGCAGCACTGTGGGCAAAGTTCCTGAAAAACATTGCCGTTCGACGAGAACGACGAATCGGTCAAACAAACCAAACTGCTCGCACAACGAGAGGTTCCGCAAAAAACTCGCGGGGAAGGTTTCAGGAGGCCCAAAGAGTTGGAAAAGTAAAGACTTGGAGGCTTTCCTAGCCAAACCAGCATCACCACACGTGTTGCCTCCAAGGTGTCATACCCCCCTGAACCACAGCAGGCGTCCACTTCCAAGCTCCCACCGGGAGCGCCGCTGCCATTTAAACACCGGGACATTCCACAATTGCCACTGGTCCGGCCCACTGGCCGAGACGGGTTGATGAAGTGGTTCAGGTGAAGCAAGTACAAGCGAGATGGTACTGTAGTTTCCGCTGCAAGGACCCAAAGGAAACCCCAATATTAGTTTGCTTTCATGCGTTTGCTCGCATGTGTGCTCTCATTTGTATGCTCTAGAGTCTCTAGAGTGCGGAAGTCTGCTTATTCATCCTTGTTTTGTTGTACTGAGCACTCTCTGGGGTCTGTTGCCGGGATGAACTTTTGTTTGAGTGCTGGGTACACTCCGAAGATTCAAGTTAACAGAGTTGACTGCATCGCTTTCTGTGGACAGGTCGTGAGGAACAAGGACTGGGACCAGGCATTTTACCCTCAGGCTCTGCAGGGCTTGACGATGGACACACGAAGATTTTTTTCAAGTTCGGACAACTGCAGTTCAAGTTTCGGTGATCTATAGAAGTGGTACGAACCCACATCAAACCAGCAATACTGAGATGGAGTCAGATAGACAGTTTGACTGTCCTTTAAATCCACACCGTTCTCGTGTCTTTTGAAGGCACTTTGCACGTTTACCGTTCAGTTGGAATCGGACTCATTGTTGCCTGTCGAGGCTGACACCCAAAACCTTAGGGGTCCTGATGGCTACGGCGTGGCAAAGGGCTGGCGTCTACCTGGCAAGGCGGTCTGGACATGATTTTCCTCTTTTTAGGGGGGTAGGCCGCTAGAGGTAGCTACTAGAGACTACCTACTTAATTAAGTCAGGAACTGAGGTAGCTAGTAGGTACAGGACGCTACTACATATGGATGCAGGATAGCTCACGCTTCTTCAAGGAAGCTCCCCCCCGCCTGAGGGCGGGGGGGAGCTTCCTTGAAGCGCTCGCACTATTCAGTTGGTTCCTAGATTTTTTTGGAAACTTAACTTCTTATGTCATGTTCTGATCTTGGCAGGAGTCTCAGTCTTGCGATTTGAAAGCGAACTGGACACCCACAATCGATCAATTCATGAAACTGAAACGACCCTGTCTTAAATGGTCTTACCCAGCTCCACACAGTTGCAACCCAAAAGCGTATTTGATGTTGTGTTTGACAGCTTCTACGTTGCCTCAACCTTCAAATGTTGGAGTTGCCTGGGCCTCTCAACTTCACCAGCTTTCGCCGGTCTCAAGCCTTCTTTGATTTTTGATGACTTTCTGAAATCTGTAGATGCTGGCTTGAATTCACTGGTTCTCTCCAGGCTGGCGATGTTTTCCGGATCCACTTCAGGAGAACCCTACCTTCTAGCGGCGTCGACGACAAGTGGCTTGGCATGATCTGACATGATGATGTGATGTGTCTCAAACCTCTGCAACTCGGGGGAAGGCAAGTTAGGACACTGGAGGCAACCCACCACCAGTCTGGGAGCTATCGGCATGAGATCATATGAATTGCAGAACTTTTTGTTGGAATCCTTTTTGTAGTGCAAGGACAGATTGCTGGCAAGCTTGGACACAGTGCTGCATCAGGTCTGTGAGTTGGAGCCTCCAGCCGCCGTCAGCCAGTCCCAGCCAGGCGTGCGGGATGAATTTCAGCACGACCAGTGGTGCAGTGATGCAGTCTGTGATCGTCTCGCGAGCTTTTTGAGACTCGGTGAAAGGGCCAACAAATAAATCACAATGTTCTTTCAGGAGCTGGCTTTGCAACACAGCTATTGCATTGCTTGCGCCCCAGGTAGAGGCAAAGGAGACTTGTGCTGCTTTGCAAACCAAGATGTTTTGAATGTTGCCTGTGAATACTCTGGGCAGCAAGGGCCAACACATGCGATACGTCCGAACAAGGTTGGCTCTTGGAGCAGCTTTGTCTCCAAGGATTCCATGACCTTTGACCAGGCGTGGATGCCGTTTGAGCAGCTTTTTCCCGGTTGAGCGGATGCACTTTGAGAGCTTTTGACATTTTCGCAGAAGAAGGCTTCAAACTTTCCAAATACAGTACATGTTCAGTTTGCCGCAGGGATTTGAACTATGTGTTTTGTATATAAACCATTCCATATGATCCACATCATCGGCGGAACCCTATGTTAGGTTGATGGTGGGTATATATTCCATAGTATTCCTTGTTGGAACAATGCACTCCTTTTGCACTTTTGGAGCTTCTGCGATGAAGGTTTATGTTTGAGTAAAAAAACACGTGTGTGTATCCAGTTGGCTGACTCCATTTGATGTATATACACAACTATATATATATATCTATATCTATATATATATATCTAAGCTTGTGTATCAATGCAAAGAACTTATGCAGGCTAGACCACACTTCGGAACGCTTCCTGTGTAGCACTTGAGCTTTCCCTTGCGTTGAGGCTAAATCTACTTGGCTGGCTGAGGTGCAGGTTGGTGCGCTGGATTTCGTTTCTTGTTGGGGAGTGCATCATGCAAAGATTTGCTAACCGGAAGAGCGAGCCGAAACTCGAAGTTTGAGGTGGGGCAAAGTGGCATGGAATTCTTCCAGATTTTGCTGAATGGCAACTGGTTAGCGGCTGTTTACCCCAACAGCTACGAGGCCGACTGTGACCGGTTCGTGAGACCATGCGCTGCGGCACCGCGAGAGGCCGACTTTCGGAGAAACGGCCACGTAGTGCTCGGTCCTGATAGCCGTGGTGGACGCAGCTACTGGTGCCTGCAGGCGAGGTTACACCATGTCAGACAGGTGAAGACTGGCAACCTTGAAATTCGATGGCTAGGTTTGGCTGAACAATTGCTTGATTCTGCCATTTTTTGACTGGGCATTTCGGCAAAGCGTGTTCACGTTTGATTTGTTACTCCATGCATGCAGGATGGCCTGGAGCCTGGAGATAGAGTCCAGGTTATGTTGGAGGTGTGGTTCGGGCTGCGGCATGCCCCATGACCCAAATGACTTCAAATGACCATGAAGCTGGTGCTGTTTAGCTGCCAAAGTGAGATCGTAAAAGGGGGGCATGACTTGCGGGTGAAGCAGTCTAATCGTCGACACCAGAACACAACACCTGGAAGTTGCTGGAAGATCCGAGACTAGGGTAATTACTAGTTATTAGCTTGTGCAACTAGGACCGTGTGGATCAGTTGCACAGAGTGACATGGCCAGGTTGACGCAGTGTCTATGCCAAAGGCTGTTCGATGGCAAAAGGCCTCGTAGCCCTTGGAAATCTATTTTTTGCTAGCTAATATTTAGGCGGCAGTGTTAGCAACGCACACTGAGATGGGTCCTTGGCCGTAGCAAACGAAGGACTGTTCTTGACTTGTATTTAGACAAGCAACTAGAAAGAGAGAGAGAGAGTTTGTGCGTTTTGCCTTGTTTCCCATTTCACCACTTGGTGAGACTCGGCGGAAAAAGGCAGAGCTTCCAAAAAAGGCCGAGCGCAATTTGATCCAGCTTGATGGATCGACCAAGTTGCAACCGTCAGGATCTGCCAGGATCTGCCAGGACCAGATTTGCTGAACTGTTTGGCTCAGACCCATGTCCGGGAGCAGCAAATACGACGAAGGCTGTTCCGGAGGCCCGTTTCTTCACTTTTGTCCTCTTTTGATGTCAAGCGCAAGACAACTTTGCCAGAACCTATGCAGAATCATATCACAGCATTTATCAGGGTAGCCGCAGAAGGGGGTGCTACTTTGGACCTGACGCTGACGACACATTCCGAAGACACATTCCTCCTCCCACCAGCAAGGTCTGGCGACAAGCACGCTGAGAACAGCACACAGACACTGACGACACATTCCGAAGACACATTTGCCGACGACACCTTGAACCCTGACGACACAGAGACGCTGACGACACATTCTGAAGACACATTCGCCGACGACACATTGAACCCTGACGACACAGAGACAGAGACACTTACGACACATTGTGCAGACAGATTTCCTGGACAGATTTATTTTTCAAAAAATTTTTTCCAGGGAAAACTGGGTCCGCCAATGCTCTTGAAACAAACTGAGACTGTAAACTGTAGGGGCGCGCGCGCACCCGAGTTTAAAATACTGTGTAGTGACGTGTATCTATTTATCGGTGAAAAAGCTTCTCCACGCGACCACAATGGCATTTATACATACATATTTATGTTTACATCGATGTGGGCAAGGGGTAAGGATGAGGGAAGGCTTGGGAACGCATGCCACAAGGTGACTGTAAACTGCTTTGATGCAAGGGTTCGTCCACACCCACCAATTTTTCAAGGGTTCCAATTTGAGCATCCTGACACTGCCTCGTATCACTGCTTTGTGACACTGAGCTCTGCAATGCCAGGTGATTTAGGCGAGTGAGTCGGAAGTCGAGGAAATAGAAAGAGAGAGAAGCAATCATTGCTGCCAGAATCCCAGCCCCGTTCGTAGCGTCCTTGTTCCTAGTAGCGATGCCCTTTGCTCCTAGTAGGGTCCTTGCTCCTAGTAGTAAGGCCAGGAGCCCTAGTAGCGTCCTTGCTCGCGTTTGTCGTGAAATGTGCAATCATCATCAATGATTCATCATGCACGTGGCACGAACCGAACGGTGGACCAACCAACATTTTGTGCTTTTAGTTGGGTCGGAGCATGGACCAGTCTGCCCAGTCGCCCGGGTCTTGCAAGGTTTGAGTCATGAAGCTGATCCAGACGGTGAAACGCCGAATGGGTTTGGGGCCTGAGTCCAAACTTGGGACGTCGATTCCTTGACATACAAAAAGTAACAAATGATAACGCATATAGCAAAAACAAACACATATTGAAGTCATATATACAGTATATATATATATGCATGGATGTATGTATTACATTTACAAATGCAATCGGTTAATTTTCTCGAGGCAATGACGACAAGAAGACATCCACAAGTCGCACAGGAGCGACCAGCAGTGGTGGCAGTGACTTGGCAGTAAATCCTCCATGTGAGTACACATGTGTCGCTCGACCCTCAAATGGGTTGGATGTTGGGATGGACTGATGACTCATACTTACCAATCCTTGATGCAAAGCTCCACATACACCCAACCGAGGCCTTTCTCACCCTAGTCGGCCGCCGACCAACTCTACAGTGGAAGTATATGAGCTAGGCTCAAAATTAGTGAAAGTGACGAGTAGTCAGTGAGTGGTCATGCGAGTTCAAAATGCATGTTTGCTCAAAAACGATACACTCACCAATTAAAGGACCGGAAAACCCCTCGGAATCTTTACGAATCTTAAGTTTCTAAAGCACAAAGCAGTCAGAGTCTCAATAGCTTCTACAACATGGCCTTGTCAGGAATTATTATATCAGAATTACACAACAGAGGGGTGGGAGAGAGGTGTGGGAGAGTAATGTGCACGGCGGATGTACGAGGTATTGCGCAGACATGTGTGTACAGCCACAACTAGCCGAAGTAAAACCCCTGGAGGTTCACAAAGTGCTGTGCCTGCCACGAAATCTGCGCATGGAGCTTCACAAAGTGCTGCGCCTGCCACGAAATCTGCACATGGAGGTTCACAAAGTGCTGCGCCTGCCACGAAATCTGCACATGGAGGTTCACAAAGCGCTGTGCCTGCCACGAAATCTGCACATGGAGGTTCACAAAGTGCTGCGCCTGCCACGAATTCTGCGCGTCAAGAAACAAGTGAATGCTCTAATCACAATGGAGGGACGGACCGGCGACCACTGCAGACAACCGCAGACAACGCAACAAGCCAGAGCATCTAACGGAGCATGGAGGTTCATAAAGTGCTGCGCCTGCCACGAATTCTGCGCATGGAGGTTCACAAAGTGCTCGGCCTGCCACGAATTCTGCACGTCAAGAAACAAGTGAATACTCTAATCGCAATGGACTGGCGACCACCGCAGACAACCGCAGACAACCGCCGACAACGCAACAGCCAGAGCCTCTAACGGAGCATGGAGGTTCACAAAG